GGAATTCTGGGAGTTGAAGTCCGCTCATCTTAAAGTGGCCAAGTTTGGACAACACTGCTTTGCAGGGACATTGTTGTTCCCCAAACAGTCTAAAGATGCTCTGCAAGCCAGTCCCAACAGCCAAATAAGTTCTCCCTGGTTTTGGATATATCCAGTTTTACTAGTCAACAAGTTCTATCTCATCGTTCTTCTCAGAGATCACATTGAAACAAATGAAAAAAGCACCATTAGAAGACATTTCAGTGGAAGAGAGCAAATATAAGCTTTAAAATGAAAAAGTGTAAAATCAAGATTAAAGAAGAAACAGAATGTTTTTCTATCTGTAAAGACTTCTTTTAAAAAAATCTCATTCTAGTCTTTAATGAAATATGCTATCATATGTAAGCTCATATCTCTCATTAAGATTGTTAACTGATGTATTGAAAAGAAAATAAAGATCATTATTAAAGCTTGCTTTGTTTCAATGTCGGTTTTATTTGTCTTTTCTTAACAGAAACAGCCATTAGCATTCTTCATAAAAATATATATTGTTTGGTGTTCTGTATTCTTGAAAAGTTTAAGAAACAGTGCTCTAGGACATCCAAAATCTGTGAATATTTTAAAATGCTCCCCCCTCCCTTATTTGTGTGCAAGCAGCTAATTGGAAACATCCTGTTAGAACTGGCTATCCATGTAATGGAATAAGATTTTATCAGATATCCATTCCAAAATGATCATGTGGCTAATCAATTCAGTTACAATTTTCCTAAGAATTGACAAAATGAACCAATTGCTGATTTGTTATTTCACTGAAAGAATTAGGATTGGTTTATATCCCAGTGCACAATTCATATTAAAAAGAAATTATACAATGTTTCTTTAGTCACCTGTCTATAATATCAATGCTATCAATTTGAAGGTACAGATGGAATTTCTCCAGGAATGAGATCATATAACCTTTGTAGACATAGGATTTACTTCCTCTTGGAATAAAGAGCAAAATATTAAAATATACCAGTAATAACTACTCTTTGCAGTAATAGGATAAACATGAGCATGCTACATGTACACAGTACTGTGCAAAAGTTTTAGACAGGTGTGAAAAAATG